ATGACTGATTGCTACAGGCAAAGATCTTTCACTATGGCTCTATAAGTCTTATAACAGAGCCATGCAAATCAGCTCATATTGCAGCAGCAAAGGCCGCAAAGGAAGCTGGTGTTGTTCTTTCATATGATCCCAATCTGCGGCTTCCTCTGTGGTCTTCTGCAGAGAGTGCTAGAGAAGGCATCCTTAGCATTTGGAATTTGGCCGACATCATCAAGGTAGCGCTGATGCATATTGCAACATGAATTCAATGTCTATACATGCTCCAGTACCTTTCCCTAGTCGAATCGTTCTCCTTTCCGATTTTGTTTTGCTGATCTTGAAATGTGAGGGTATCCTGTTGTGAACCGCTTAATTTTTCATGTCTTCTTGATCATTCTCAGATAAGCGAAGAAGAGATATCCTTCCTAACGCAAGGAGAAGATCCATATGATGATGCTGTTGTCCGCAAGTTATACCATCCGAATCTCAAGTTGCTACTTGTGACTGAGGGCCCAGATGGTTGCAGGTATTACACCAAGGTATGTCACAACATCAAAATTCACCAACTTAGAAGCCAAAATTTGCAGCCTTTGACAGGAAGTTCCGTGACATTTTTCATGACTTAAGCAGTATGAGCACTGTATGTTGAAATTGCAACTCTATAATTTCTCTCTGCAGGAATTCAGCGGCAGAGTGAAGGGCTTAAAGGTGGATGCTATTGACACAACCGGTGCCGGAGATGCTTTTGTGGCTGGAGTACTGTCTCAACTAGCACGGGATTTATCTTTGCTGCAGGTATTAACACTCAACACTAGTTAACAGGCAGAAGAGTGGTAGTCTTTGTCTTCTGCAGCTTTTTTGTGTGGAAGTACTTACCAATAACCCATCTTCTCTGCTGACTGGTTTTGCTAATAAAATCATTGTAGAATGAAGAGAAATTGCGAGACGCTCTCAAGTTTGCCAATGCCTGTGGTGCATTGACTGTGATGGAAAGAGGTGCAATCCCTGCTTTGCCAACCAGTGAAGCTGTAGCGAATGCAGTCCTTAAGATCGTGGCATGAAAGGTTTGTTGTTTACTAGTAGTAACTTTAGAGCGAAATCCATATTTTTTTCCGGCAAATGTTTGTTGATAATCCGATCCATGTAGCTAGTTCAGTTCATGCCCTGATGAATGTCGTGTTAACGACAATAACCCTGCTCACTCTGGTACTGTAGTCTGTATCCGACGGAGCAGTCACACTGTAAGCAGTTTTTGATGTATTGTGTGTTATAAATGTATTCATGTCCTGAATGTAGCATCATGGGAACATTTTGGTTATGAGTTGCTGTCATATATGTGAAAGTTTGAAAGTGATGCTCTTGGAGGGCCTACCAGCCGTGTTATGCCAATTGGTTAGGTAATGATCCCATTCAGAATTAGTTCATCTGATCTGATTGAAATGAGTCGCTAACCTAAAAGAATGCCAACCTTGAATTTGACTGACATCTGTCTCTTTATTAATTGCTGCTGCTGTTCAACCTCCCCTCTCCCTAACTTGCTTTGATGGGACCAGAATGAATGAAGCTCTAACTCGATTGTTTGGTATTTGGTTAATGGAATGTCTATGTCTATTTTCAGCATAGAGGAAGCTATTAGTTAGGTTTTGATTGAGATGGTATAATTGTGAAGGGAGGGCAAAAATGTCATTTACTTAAATTTTGTGGGCGGCAATTAGTAATTCTACGGGCGGTAAATAACAACCCTCTTTAATAAGGGTTATGCTATGCCTCAATCGCTAGCAAGGAGCTATTAATACATGTGTTGATGTTGTTGGATCGATCTTCTTGGCGTTGTATATACTTGTGGGATAGTTATTGTGAATTCTTCGTTCTATCTTTTGCATTTACGAAAAAGTAGGGAGTCTAATGGAAGGATTGAAGGTTGTCAAACAAGTTCAAACCATTACGGATAAGCAAGTGGTACAGTCCAATAAGGGGTTTACTATGTCAGTTCTAATAGAATTGGCGGGAAAAATGAGTAGCCATCAACACCAAATAAATTATGCATATATAGTCTATCTCAAAACGTTGAATTAAATTCTCGCATTACTCAAATGCCAAATAGCGAATATGATATAACGAGCTACACTCTAATGGCTCTAGTAAGGAGTAGCTAACATATGCACAAACTACTCATTTTTATCTCTTTATATCTATACTATTGCTCAATACAATGTTGCCAAAAACAACAAATCCTTCTTAAGTAAACCAACCAAGACTGTTACGTCACGTCTTGCTTCACCATGAGTACATCGACATCGCTCTCTTAGCCGAGTATTGCTCCAGTGGTTCAGAGTCCCACATAACCACCGAACCACTTCATTTTGCTTTACCCGTCCCGCACCAAGCGCAGGTTCATTTTTAACCTTCAAAAGTGTGTTTTAACTTTCATTACATGAAATTTTGTGTTTTCTAACCACTTTTAAATTGGATAACAATTGTATTTTGGTGCTTAAAGTTCACATGATTTAAGTGACCTCTATAACATATAAATTTAAGTTTTATAAGATAATTTCGAACTTGGATAGTTTTAAAAGATTTATGCACGTGAAATTATGCACGCGACAAAAGTATGTGAATGTGTCGTTCCTCTCCTCCGCGAACAAAGGTTTTTTAGAGTGCTTTCAGCCACTAGTTTCTCATCTCAACCAACATCATTGGCATGCCTGAAATCCCGCCATTCTTCCTCCATTTTCCCCTCATCAATTCCTCAAAACTCATCCTCCTTAAATCCCCAACACAAACAATCGATCAATCAGATTTGAAAGCCAAAGGGAAGACACAAAGAAAAGAAAAAAAAGAAGTTCATTTTTTCCTCTAGTTTGGAACAAGAAGAATTAAAAATCAAAAGAAGAGGGAATAAAATTTAATTACTCTTAACAACAATCTAATCCAGAGTAATAAGAAATGGCTGACGACGAAGCACAGGAGCAGGCGGACAGGGAGCGCATCTTCAAGCGCTTCGACCTGAACGGCGACGGGAAGATATCGGCGACGGAGCTTGGGGACTGCCTGAAGACGCTGGGGTCGGTGACGCCCGACGAGGTGAAGCGGATGATGGACGAGATCGACACCGACGGCGACGGCTACATTTCGTACCAGGAGTTCACCGATTTCGCCTTGGCCAATCGCGGCCTAATCAAAGACGTCGCCAAGATCTTCTAAAAGAAATTTCATTTTCGTTTCGTTTTTTTTTCAAACCCTAAATTTTTTTGGATTACTCGTTTCGATTTCCGTTCCACATTTCTTTCATTTTTGTCTTCTCGTGTTTGAATGTTGAATGTTGACCCTAGTAGTAATTTTTCCGCAACTCCATTTTTCGATTAAGTAATTTAAACTGCCTCTTCAGTTGTTTATAGGAAATCACTGTTTGCCCGAGCCGCCGCTTAATTCAACGAAGAAGGCAAATCCAAAGGTCACAAACGAAGAAACCACTTAACCAGTCTCTGTATGCCTCTTTTAGATAGTTACAACAACAATGGAAAAGAAAGGGATAATATTACAATAAAATTTTGACTTTTAGTGTAAATTCAGACACAGCTGTTGTTTTTTTCTCCCCCCTTCCACTTTGAATGTTTACCCTATACATCAAACTGTAAAAAAAATGACAAACTATATATGAATTTTTGAATTATTATAAGACAAATATGGTCCACGACCGTTATCGACGTATGTAGTTTGTGATAAATAAGTGTGTTCTTTTACTCCGTTTTCTTTTCCAAAGCAATACCCGCTCGTAAAGGGTGTCGATTCATTTGGTCACCGAAGGAACGACGATAATGGAACGAACATTGATGGACGCCATGGCGATTGTGCTGCTGGTCTGCTGCCCATACACACAATTATTGGCCTTGCAGTATTCATTCAAAAAACATAAATAATTAATCGATTTGTTGGCCTGTGATTGTGAATGAATTATGAAGGGCTGTAGTACACACATGAAATCCTTTTCCTTTTGTCAAGTAAGTAGCGATTTGGGAAACAACCGGACAGAACAGAAGCAGTGAAATATGTTTGGTCAGTTCAAGTTCAGTTCAGTTCAGGTCCGTGAATGATAGCAGAGGCATCTTCTTCTGGGCAGTCCTTGACCATTTTGTTTGTTAGAGGGAACTCTCAATGGTCATCCATGAAATAAAACTACTGTACCGATATTGCCCTCGTGTTCATTTATTTTTTTTTATGTTGCAACATGATATTATCACTATAGTAAGAGTGTATCACATTATAGTACACTAGTTATGACGTGAATTGTTCTTCTTCTTAACAAGTACCAAAATGGATGTGGTTTTGTAGTTTTACACTATGATAAAACTTTATATATCATGCACACATAATAGTAATACCACTATGGTAAGACTCCATAATATCATCTCACGACTGTCATTCTTGATTTTACCATTATGGTAAGACAACATTATCATACCACTGTCATATCGTGATATTGTCATTGTGGTAATATCATGATATAACAATAGTAAGATGGTGTAACAAAATTTTGCTTAAAAAAATATCGAAATGGATGACATCTTGTAGAACATAATAACTCTAATTTTTCTTTATTTTTTTAAACTCAAATTAAAAATAAATGAAATATTGTCCTTTGAAAATTTGGGAGAAATTGAAAAAGTCTTTTAACTATCCTTTTGAAAATCCTTGCCTGCTCTAATAAACGAGATTTTGTAGCTCTACAAATAGGTGGATTTCGTACCCGAACCTCTTAAGATGGCCCGACAATATGATTCCTAGTGTGTTGTGGAATAAGATAGTCAGGTTCTCATTCGATCAATCAATTATATCTTAACTGGGCGGTCCTTATATTTTAACTGGGCGGCCCTGCTGGTATGTGACATGTATCGGTTTGATATTGTCCATCCTCCGAGTGAACCCTAAAATCAACCATAAAATTCATAATCAAAGAGATGTTGTGAAGACTCAATATTAAGCGAATTCGATTGCTCGTTCATTAGCCATATCCGCTCTCCCAAACAATTGAATCAGTATTCTAGATCTTATTTATCATGGTGAACGTTTCTCTTTTTAAGTAAAATATCCCTTGACAAAAAGGCCAAATCAAAGGTGTCTATTAAGCCAAACTTGCTCAACAAAGTGAGAACATAATGCACTTTTTCCCAAATCCCAAGCAATGAGAAAGGGGGAAAGGCAAGAATAGAAGAATAGTATATTTACACACACACTTGCCTATTATCCATCCTATTTACACTTTTGCTTTGAAATCTCTTTCTTCTCAACTCTTTACCTTCCCTCCTCAAAGCAACCAACCAAAAAGAATCACAGTCCCCACAACTGGACAACAAGGCCAGGAACCCTCAAAACTATTATTCGAAACAAACAAAAACGAAGAGGGAATAACAACAAAAGAGTCAGTAGTAAGTCTTGCACGCTTTCTTGTTGGATTATACCTCACCGACGGTAGAGGTGGTCGTCTTCTTCAAGCTCCGAAACTCCAAGCATTGCCAATGCCAAATGACTCTTCATCTCACTGTTGTTGTCGTTAGTCTGCTGGAGTTGTGGGTAGCAATCTATAATCCCTCCTGCCAAGTTGAACTTCTTCCTGCTACTGCTAGACAACAGTGGAACTACTGCTGCTGATGCTGCAAGCTCTTCATCTCCTCTCAGTATGGCTAAGATCTCGTCTATCCGGGGCCTGCGAGATTCCTCGCTGCTCACGCAGGCGGCAGCTGCATGGATCATCTGGGTTATTTGCGATCTGTTCCTTAAGGTGCAAGTAATTCGCGGGTCGAGCAACTCTTCGATCGCTCCTTTCCCTTTGTCCAGCAAGGGTTTGGCCTGTAAATGATATACATGTATGTGAAAGGAGAGTTTCATCAATTCTATGATATTAAACTAAAGGCACAAAAGAGACTTTAGACTGCACCACGGTAGAGGGATAGAGCTAACTACAAGCAAGTACAGGGCTTAGAGAAGGCATTTCTTCATTCTTGAAGAGAAGAGTCTGGTTACCCATGTCAAGAAGTTTTCTCAATCAAAATTTCCCACCAGAAGGCAGATCCAGAAAAAGGTTATCTTCACACCAAGCAACAGCTTAATTCTAACAAGCAAGTATCATGCTTTCTCTACTAACAGTTTCATAAGTAGTTCCCCAAGGTAAACTGTTGAAGCTCCATTCAGGATCAACTTGGATTGTACAAAGAGGGAAGCCAAAAAAAAACTAATTAAGAACTCAACTCAGCTTGTTTAATCCTATCACCGCCATTCACTAGACCATATAATCATATTAGTCAATTTCTTTTCTTTTCTCAAAGTCCTCATTTGTATGGAAAGTCAGAGATGTGGGTCTAAGAAACGAGATGAGGGACCATTCAACAGAAACGAAGGGGACCTGTAATAAATAATTTAGGGGAGAGTTAGGAAGAATGACCTACCCATAAGACCAAATTCTCTTCCCCTGGAGGGCGTCTAGCTTCAATGGGTTTCCTTCCTGTAATTAGCTCCAGGAGGACCACCCCAAAAGCATATACATCAGTCTTATCTGATACCTTGCCATGCTGGAAATACTCTGGAGCCAAGTAACTGCACATTTTTCACCCAGTTTCTTTTTCATATCAGCAAATGAAGAAATAAAAAACAGATCTTTCCACAGGTTGAGATCTCAAATCATTACCCAAATGTTCCCTTGACAGTCTTGCACAGGAAAGGGACACAAGGTGAGGAAGTCCAGGTAGCCAATCCGAAATCACACACCTGTATATAGTGCAAGAGCAGGAACAACAACTTATCACCTTTTACTACAGCATCACTTGATCAAATCAGATGTAGAAAGCTAATATGGTCTAAAGCATGATGATTGAGAAACTAAATTAATATTCACTTTACCTTGGGGATTTTCTTGGAAGAAAGGAGTATGTTTGAAGGCTTAATATCTCTGTGCACAACACATCTCTCAGTCCCATTGTGCAAATATGCAATTGCTTCTGCAACTCCAAGGGCAACCTTGTACCTCACAGACCACGCAAGCGTTGAGTTACCATTCAGTCCTCTCTTCTTCTTGTTCTTCTTCTTCTCTGGGAGATGGTCAGGGATTAGGATAAGAAATCAAAATCATTGAAAATATCAAACCAGTTTCTCATTCTTTCAAAAGATCAACAGTGCAAGAATATGACTAACCATGCAAATGGCGATCCAAGCTGCCACTAGAAACGTACTTGTAGACCAAGAACAAGCCTTCCTGCGGATCAATACAGAAACCCACAAGAGGCACAATGTTCTGATGGTGAAGAGAGCTTGCAATCATCAGCTCTCTACAGAACGCCTTGGAAGATTCTTTGTCCTCCTTATCCAGCCTCTTAATAGCCACACAAGTCCGCATAATCCCAACCCTTCCCCTGAAGACAAAGCTCATAGCTCCCCTTCCCAAAACTTTACCTAACCCACAAGGAACCAAACCAAACAGAATCAGAACCATAACCAAAACCGGACAACAGCAAGCAGCAAACATGCAAAATCTTCTTAAGATCTTCCATCATTCGACTCACCTTGGGAGAAATTGCTGGTGGCGGCGAGAATATCACTGTAGTGAAACCGAATCAAGGAATTCGCCACAGGGGAAATACTCCTCTCCAGCGACTGAATTCGCCTCCATCCCAGCTCCTTACCCCGAGAATCGCTCAACCCATTTTCCAGATTCACCATCAGAACCGTCGCCGATGAAGTCGCGGAGGAGTTGATGTTCATCGATTCCAGCTCGACCTGAGAGCAGAAGCTGAACCTGAAGGAAGAGTGAACCGACTGGGGTTCAGCATTCGCCAATTCGCCGCCGCCGCCGCCTGATTCGGCGAGAAGCCAAGCCTTGTTGTTTTCCAAATTCACCTTACTCTTCTCTCCTCCTCCTCCTTCGCCATTCTTCTTCTCCAGCTCGCTGCTGGGGAGGAAACAGGACAAGCCGAAGTGCCACACCATCTTCGTCAAAAGGGTCTTTGAGGTATCGATCTCATTGACACTAGCGTTGCAGTTGCAGTAATTATCCGCGGGCATGGAGGGTGAAGAAAACGACAAAGAAGAAGTGGTAGTAGAAGCAGAAGAGAAGGAATTGCTAGTAGAGCAGAATAAGCAAGCGCTACTGTGGGGACTCAGCTTTTGGGTCGAGCTTGTAGTACAATTTCGCTGAAAGATTCCCATTTTTTCCTTTTCCCCACTTTCTGTTCAGAGAAAGCAGATCTCAATGAGAGCTATTAAAAAAAAACACAGAAACCCAAAAGCTGAAAACGGGTAGAAGGGGAGTGGGGAAAGTTAAAAAAGAAGGGTGGGAATATCTTAAAAAGGTAAAAAGCTTAATGCTTTGCTTCAATGGTGGGAAGAGAATTTTATTTCTTCCCTGTTATCTTGTTTTTGGGCTCTCAGCAGCAGCAAAGGGGCAGAGTAATGGAAGGTGGGCAATGTGGCAAATATAAAAGAAAGGAAGGATGGAATGGATGGATGGAGGAACAAGAACATTATTATTAGTATTTGTGTGAAGGTGATGAATGATCGCAGCTTTTCGATTAGTTTAATAAATAGTGTGTGTTATGTGAGAGCGGGAAGAAGGAAGAAGAAGGTAGGGAGAAAGAAAGAAAGATGGCCATAGGAGAGGAGAAGGTTGGTTGCTACAGCAAAAATAGTTGTTTAGGAAATCGCCACCAAAGATGCATAAAATTTTGATAGAGGAAAGTGAGGTGAGGGTAGGTTTTAGTTGGGAGGAGGAGATTGCTTTATTTAATTGCTAATACAGAAGGAAAATTAATCATAATAATAATAATAATAATAATAATAATAATAATAATAATAATAATAATAATAATAATAAGAGTTTAAACAGAGAGACAGATGTTGGTGTTGTGAGTTAAGTGGACAAAATTGAACCCACAATCTGTACCATTGGTCTAATGAAATATTTTTCACTCACAATTTAAGTTTCTGAGTTAAGGGTATTACATAGATTGATTGTATTTGACCATAGTCAACAGATTGACCTATATATCGGTTTTAGAACAAACTTTTTTTTATATATCGGTTTAACTTTATTGTTAACTACTAGATAAGAGATTTAAACTTTTAACTTCAAAACTAGCGGTAGAACTTATGAATATATATTTATTACTCTAGGGCCTGTTTGGATGATGATTTTATAATGAGGGATTTTGAGGCCAAATCTCTCATCTAACAATCTAGGAATGTAAACGTGGAATTTATACAGAATCAAGCATTTATTTATAGATAAGGAATTTAGGCCCAAACAATTGAATAACAATTTTGTCGAGACGTTCATCCCTTCCACCGCCCAACCCCTTCAGAGCCTTTCTGTTTGTTGTCGACGCCCTTCTATTTGAGGGATTTTAAATTTCCTAATTGCAAAATCCCACATTCTTCCCAAACTCAGGATTGTTTTAAATTCCGGCAGAATGAGAGATTATTTTAAAATCTCTCACAAATCTCTCATTACAATCCTGCATCCAAATGAATGAATGATCCCCAAATTGGTAAATGTTTGATGACTATGGTGGTGAGGACGGTAGTTAGTAGTGAATAATGTAATCAAAATCGCGCTTTAAAGCATAAAAACTTACGATTTTACGCTTCTAGGTCACTAAAACGCTTCTATGCAAAATCTCCGTTTTTATAACTTAGGTAGTTAAAAACTCGGGTTAAAACTTAAAAAATTACGATTTTATGCTTCTACATCACTAAACCGTTTCTATGTAGAAACTCGCTTTTGACTACATTGTAGTGATTAGTAAAAAAAAAGTGTTTTATGACACAAATATATTAAAAATTGTTTATGGTCGTATTAAATGCTCTGTTAGTTTAGATGTAAGTATTGGATATGCAATTCATCTAAGAAGAAGAAGAGATTTGTGGGAGTGATTGATGCTTTGAAGGAGAAATCTTTGCCTGGAAAGAAGAAAATAACAAAGAAGAGGAAGAAGAAGACATCGAAGAAGATGAAAGAGACTTGGAGGATTGCATTCTTAAATTCCCATTTCAAATCTCGTATCAGTTCCAAATTAGTTATTTGGCTCAAATCCTATATATAAATTTCTTGACATTTTTAATAGAGATTTGACCCTAAATCTCTTCGTTATTAAATTTCGCATATAAAGGATTTCATAGTTAATTTTGAACTAAGAATTTACACTACCAAACTTTCTAAAATGACTAATTTGAGTCATTATACCATCTATATTGACAGGACCCCAAACATAACGTTGACAATAGGGTGTCATGGGGTTCCATCTTGGACACCTAGTATCAAGCATAACACCCTACCAACTTGATGTAAACAAGGCATCGAGCACGCTACATCAAGTACTACGACAGTTGGAGGAGTGACTACCGTTGAGGTTACACCTTATGGTTATAAATGTCAAGAACAAGTTGATCCCAATAACTCGAGTTGTTGGGAGAGGTTCCATCGTGGATCATATACCAATCACTAACACACCCCCTCAAACGAAAGCCAGTCAACTCATCATAAGGGCTTTCGTTTGCACATGTCCTGAACATAAGAATACATGTGCTTCACAAATGGGGTCACTGGGATTCGAACACAAGACCTCCCGGCCACAACCAGGCTCTGATACCATGTCAAGAACCAGTTGATCCCAATAACTCGAGTTGTTGGGAGAGGTTCCACCGTGGATCATATACCGCTCACTAACAATAAATAGGAGAAACGGAGATGGAGCAAGATTACTAAATGTCAAACTTTTCATTTTTCCCTGCGATGTAGCCATAGTCTTAGCCTTTAGTTTGGAGTTCTCACTGAACATCTACGGGAGTAGAAGTATGTCAACCTAGCTTGTCCTAAAACTCATAAAAAAACCCTCAAATACCCTCAAACTTTGTTTGTTGAATTATGCAACGTATTGTTAATCACTGTCCAAGAAAATCATTAGTACAATCCATTAATATCAACACCATTTTCCCGCCGAAATACACCACTAAACGTACAGTAAGTTAATAAATCATCTTGCACACGACAGTTCATCCAAAGAACCCAATCAAGCTACCTAAACAAATTGCCCAACTACTCAAAGTAACAGATCCAATATCTTTGTGTGTTTCCCCTTAAAGAAAGTAAGGAACATGATTAATGATATTAATAAAAGACTAGCTAGAGCTAGAGAGAGATCTAAAGTTGGAAGAAGACGAAGCTTTGGGATGACGTGCTTGGATTGAATTATGAACCCAACCGGTTAACAACATCATTAAAAGCGCGATTAGAAGGACGAAAACAAAGAGAAAGAGGTGAACCCAAAAAAGAAGAGAGGCTGGTAACCAACAAGAAATTAATTTTGTAAGTTATAATTAGCTGTGATTGTTCAAGAAATGTGGAGGGGACATTGTGAGGCCACGTGGAGACTCATGTATGGTTGTTGTTGTTGTAGATGGGAAGCTTGAAAGATAATAATAATAAATGTTGTTTCTGTTTCCTTGCTGAGGTTGGGCTGCAAAATGACTAATGAAGTAGTATTATATTTTCCTAAAATAATAATAATAGTGAATTGTGTAGTTTGGTGACCCTCCAATCCAACCATCTATTCTTTCTTCCCCTCCCAACTACTGTACATGGGAGCTCCATCTATTAGTAAGAAAAGAAGGGGAAAAAACCTAATCTCAATACTGTTCATGATAATCATTTGATTAGAAGATCTCCTTTGGCTAATCAATTTCTCTCGTGTTCCAAACAAAGATGCCATAAATCTTGATATTTGCTTTGGTCCTAATTGCTCGGTGAGCATTACATCAAGTTGTTAATTCATTAATTAAGATACTGTGAATCAAGGTTGTCAAACATATTTTATACCGTTAGACTTGTTTAGCAAGTGATCGATATTGTTTGAGCGGTACCACGGTACGTACACAACTGGTTTATGTCGGTTTTAATATCCAACCCCACCCACCCACCAGCACTCCTCACCGAGAAGAGGATTGGTCGATGCCCTAATCTCTTGCTTTCATGTACGCAACTAATTTATATCGGTTTTAAAACGCAACCCAATCCCACTCATCGACACCAGCACCGGCACCCCTCACTGAGAAGTGAGAAGAGGATTGGGGACGAAGGGCTTCCGCTCGCCAGCTCCAAATAATTAATGAGTGCATGGAATTGGCATCGACGTCTGACTAAGCTAGCTAGGGCAGGGCAGCATCAAATCTTTGCGTTAGGCTGGCTGGTGCACATGAACCGGCTGCTGCAACATAATTGTGTGCATGCACCGTTGATTCACTTCATTAATTGATTCCCCTATACCCCAAACACAAATTAAAAGCACATTAACCCGACTGACATTTGCACATGCAACGACGTTCCGATATTATTATTAATTACCGTCTGGTGTTAAGTGAAGTTGTACGCCGGAGGGATGAAGAAGGGAAACAGGAGAGACCCACGAATTTGGTACCAGTATAGCCCCCAAGGCTTTTACATTTAATTCACTGGTATCTACATACTATTAAAAGATAAAATAAATTGAAAGTTAACAAAATTGTGGACGTGCCGGAGTGGTTATCGGGCATGACTAGAAATCATGTGGGCTTTGCCCGCGCAGGTTCGAATCCTGCCGTCCACGATTTTAGTCTTTTAATTATTTTGGACTCTCGTTGTTGTGGGCTGAGACTTGATGGGCTTAAGATCCTATTTTATCCTTTTATATTTTTTAGGCTCTCGTTGTCATGGGCCGTGCGCAGGTCCTATAGACTGATGGGCTTAAGATCCCATCATCCCAAGCCTACCTTTGAAGATGAAAAAATCTAACAGTAAAATATCGCTAGAAGGAGGGCTCGAACCTCCGACCTTGTGGTTAACAGCCACACGCTCTAGCCAACTGAGCTATTCCAGCTTGTTGTTTATTAATTTTGGTAGAAAATAATTTAGATTTACCAAAATATTTTGTATGAAAATATACAATTGACGTGGTCTACCAACAAGCCTTTCTACCTTCTAAGCGTATTTAACAACACATTAATCACCATTAGCCCTTGACAAACCCACGGCATTGGCATAACATACACCAGACAACAATTGATAATGCCAGAAGTATTTGGTAATTCTCAAAATTGTTATTGTGATAATCAGTCATCAAGAGGGAAATCATAGCACTAACACAGCTTGTTCTATCAAAAGTTTCGAATCAATCAACAAAAAGGAAAGTACAATTCACATACAAAGGTGCACCCCCAAAAATTATAAATGAGTAGACACATCTAGTGTACCAGTGATTTTCTACTATAATGTTTCAATCCTAATTAAGGAGTTAGTCCACTTAGGCCCCGAGAGTGTTTCCAATTCCATCTCTGCAGATAGAGCTCAACAAGGAATCTTTCAAATCCTTGTAAATTTTTTTAAACATCTGAGTAATTTATGAGCGATTTTTTCATTTCGAAGTTATTTATGGTATTTGTAGGAATGATTTTTTATTAACAGCAGTCTATGTAACGAAATCGACTTGAAGCACTTTGTATAATATTTTTTACTCATAATTTTCTCACAATTCATTCTTGAAATCTCATTCCCAATACCTTTTCATGTATTCTCTCTCGATTTTCTCATAATTTGTCTCATCCACTCTAA